CTAGTAAGTTACATGTTAATTTATAAATCTGCCAATGACTAGTGGGTGGAGGCCAGGGCTGCTGCTGAAGATCTATGATGGAGAACTCTCCCTCCAACAAAAAACTCTCTAGTCCAGAAGTCAGTAGTGCTGAGGTTGAGAAACTGTCCTACAGAGATCAAAAGCCACTCCTTTGGGGCAATTAGGAGACCTTTGTCCTCCTTGGGTAAAGCAGTTTCTGTGGGGTTTTGGTGGCTTCTGCAGTGGACTAATAAAGAGAGGGAAGTCAGAAAGTGAAGTCTGCAAGTGAAAACTTTTACAGTGCTTGGTAGTGAAGAGTGTGAGATCAGTTAGTAAACAGGAGAGGGGAGGCGTGGTTATAGGAAGAATAATTCGTGGTTCCAAAGTATTTTAAATTACGTGGATCGAACTGAAATTTCCATTTTCATTTAGATGATGGATGATTTTGAAGCCATCACCTAAGCTACAGTATATTATTTTAGTGAAAGATATTTACAGATTCCACATCTTAAAAACGTGGGGAAATACTGGTCCCTAACCATGGTCAGAGCTGCATAATCACAAACATTTAGTACAGGAAAATGATGGAAGTGCCTTTGCGTCTAAAGTCGTAGCCTCACAATGAAATATTCAGTGAAAACCATGTAAGCTTCTGTCACTCTGTAAAATCTTACTGCCGTTCAGTATGTGATATCTAAATTATTTAAGTAGTTTGTTACGAGTCTTTCATTAATCAAATACAGACACCCCTTCAGTGCTTTGTGCACCATGAGTGGCTGGCCAGTCATTCCATCCAGAGGAAAAGTTCCTCTTGACGCCCTTCTGTTTGAGAAATGGGAGGTGTCCATTGCTGGCAGAGTAAATGTCACTACTATGAGAATTGTCTTTTTTTTAAGGAGCGTTGGAAAAGTTGTTTTGCCCTCGATGAAAAAGTCAAAGAGCCCTTTGGCTGAATGGGTGGTTCTTTTACAAACTTCACGCATTTAATAGTTCACATATTGTAAAAACATTTTGTCCAGCTGATGAACATTCAACTTATTTTTACTCTGTCACAAACCATGAAACTGACCTTAACTTGTGAAGCTGACATGTATATGGTCAAGGATATCCTTGAACATTCTCTCTCGAGATGAAGAAAGAATGCAGAAGGGAGGGGCAAAACTACTCTTTGCTTTGAATCTCTTGCTTTCCTTTAGTGTGGATCCAAGGTTGCACTTTGAACAAGCAAGCTCTGAACTATTCCTACCCTGACGTGTCACGAAAAAACTGCCGATAATCATTGAACGAGGTTAGTATCAACTAGGCAAGACATAAGCCTTTCTGAAAATGTTTCTTCACTTATCAAAAACTTAATTTCTCCAACAAAACAGAAAGTTTCTAATAAGAATTCTGTATTTTAATGTAGTAGTTACGACTTTTTAATGAATTGATTCAACATTGAACTGCTAAGTAACATTATATAAATATTGTTGCTAACTTTTCTTTCTTGCATATATTGCTATATACTGTTTCTGATTTATTCAGTACAGGCATATTGGGTCAACTATTTTCTTATATTTAAGTGATTAATAACTTATTACACTATTCACTTAGTCTTATGGAAATATTTAATAAACTTATCCTCATGCCTTTTTCAAAGAAAGCATTTTTGCCGTGCAAGGTCCAATTTAGTCATAGTTATTTTTCAGAAATTTGCTGGGTAATTGTCCTAGGGGGAATTTTTTTTTAATGTTTTAGACATAGTATTCCTTTTCCTCTTTCCCCTAGACTGTATTCCTAGCCTAATCTGAATATGGTAGACCCACAACAATTATACAGCTTGTGGTTTAGAGATAATGGTAAACGCCACAGAAAAGCCCTCCATGGTTAAGGGCTTGGGTCTGCGGATTCCGTCCCTCCAGCAAGAGGAGCAGTGAAAGATGAACTGCTCCGTGAGAAGCTGGGAGGTGCTTATGAAAGGTGCTATGAAGGGTCCCCTTCAAACATGCCGTCACAGACAGTAAAAGCTGGCCCCCAGGGAGTGGTTCAGAGGGTTTCTAAAACTGATTGGGTAGCCAGAGACAAGTTTCTTCGTCTAAGCCTCTGTTTCCATGCCTGTAATGCTTCTTCTTTACCTCAGTGGATTGGTGGGAAGATAAGATAATTCATGTAAAGAATGCAGGAGGAACTGACCATAAAACTCAGGCATGGTTTTTGCTGTAGCTGCTATTGTTTGCTGTCTGTCCAGTTCACAGGGGAACTTGGAGCTTCAGTAGGGCCTGGCTGGCTCCCTCTTCCACCCCTGCCCTTTGTCCGAACAGGAGGACTTGGACCTATCTCCCCTCGCTCTCTGTCTCGTTCTCTTAATGTGTTCTCACCTTTAAAATAATTTCTGTTTATGTCCAAACCACACTGAACGCACCTGATCTCACTGATCTCGGAAGTTAAACAGTTCAATTTCTTTTAATGGTCTATTGACTAAGTTCATAAGTGATACAAGGATCTGCAAACAATTACATAACAAGAAACTATAAGAATAATTAACCATAGAGTATTTTGGTAATTGCCATAGAGCTAAAACTAACTTGTCATTTAATTGCTTCCTGGAAATAAAACCACTTGGATAAAATCCAAGAAATAAAACAAACAAAACTCCCGAACCCTTGACACTCATATTATTATTATTATATAAAGGACTGCAATTTTTTAAAATATCTTATTTTTAGAAAGAGGGGAAGGAAGGGAGAGAAGCATTAACATAAGAAACATAGTACACACCCTGATTGGGGAATGAACCCACAACCCAGACATGTGCCCTGACCAGGAATCAAACCAGCGACTTTTCTCCCTGCAGTGTGACACCCAACCAACTGAGCCACACCGGTCAGGGCAAGGACTGCAAATTTCTTAATGCTTTTCTCTTGAGTGTACATATTACTTTCACAGAAATGTTTTCAAATATTTAACGGAAGTATGTGCAGTGCCAGACACTGGAGTTACGAAGATAAACACATCCCTGCTTTGAGATGTTCGTCATCTCGTGGACACAACAGTCGCTATCTAAGCGGTAGCAATACGGTGTACGTGACAGCGGCGTGCTGAAAGACCTCAGAGGGGAGTTTTATATCCACAGAGGTTTTGATTGGGTGTGAATGAGTGCTTCTTCTGGGGAAGAGGAGAATGTGTAGAGTAGCTTCTCAAGAAAAGCAGACTGGACTGGATGGGTTTGACAGGTGGCCAAGAGGAGGGTACTCAGGCGCAGAGAGCAGCCTGTAAAGGACACAGAAACTAGAAAATGGGTGGCCTATAGAAAGATTTTAAGTAGTTTGGCTATAGCTGCCATACAGGATGATGCCTGGAGTGGTAGGGGAACACTACAGCGGTAGGGGGCGACAAATTGTGAAGAGCCCGTAGGCCGCTGCTGCCTGATGATCGTGAATGCTGTGCTGGTTTTGATGAATTACAGTGCCTTATTTTGGGCTGCTGTAACAAATTACCAACTGGGCAGCTCCAATAACATTTGTTTCTCACAACTCTAGATGCTGGAAATCTCAGATCATAGTGAAATTATGGTTGGGTTCTGGTGAGGATCCTCCTCTGGGTTGCAGACAGCTGGCTTATTATACCCTCACATGGTATTGGAGAGAGGGAGTGCTGGTCCCTGACTTTTCTTATAAAGGCATTACATTAACACCATGCTCGCAGGCTCCAATCTCATGACCGATTTTCCCAAAGGCCCCACTCCCAAATACCATCACATTGGGAATTAGGGTTTAAACATGAATTGGCGGGGAGCACATTCAGTGTATGACACACAGCCACTTTGAGATTCCTAGTGGGTTTGTTTTTCCCTTCAGAAGTTCTTTTAAGACTACACTCCTACTAAAGGTGGGGGGGGGGGTCATTTCTTCTTTTTTACATAATCCCTACAAGTGCCTGTAAAGGTAACTCCCCTCTTTGCTACTTAGCTTTAACTTCACTGAAGATCAATGGCTACCATTACCTGAGTTTCTTTCAGGTAATTTTACTGATCAAAGAACAGAATCAAAGGTACTGGAGAGCAGGCAGGGGAACTGGGGTTACACAGGGATACAGAAGAGTCCAGCTATTTTGTCCTACTTCCTGAACTTCAAGAACTAGTTAGTAACAGCTCACCAGCTACCACTTTCCTCTTGGAGCAGAGTCAGTAAGGCCGTTTTCAGCCCACACCCCACATTTATATCGAAGATTTCTGTGCTGTGTGCTGGGGATGCTGCAGTGAAGAATTCAGTGGGCTCCTTCTGGAAAAGCTTAAATCTGAAGGTGCTTTAAGCTTCTTTTAAGTATTGGAGAAACAGCAAAGTTTCTTTTGTAACAAAATCCTGTTTTGTTTTTTGAAACTATTATCATCATGCATGACAGATGTACATTATATTGTATTCTAATTAAGGCAAATTTTAGCATTATAATATCTTTGCAAACCATAATACAATAATAGCATTGGAGAGTGGTTCTTAAAAGGGATTTACTAGTTTCAAATCTTAGAGGTTAAGGTCTGTGTCTTCCAAAATATAACTTAGTTTTAATAAAATGACTATGGCTAGGCTTACTTATTCTTGAATGCAGCAGCTCAAAGCTCAAAAACCCATATAGTTTTAAAAATTCTATAGAATTCCCATCAATAAGGTTTTTATAGACTGTAAAATTAGCCTTATGATTTTTTTTTTACTGAAGAAGCTCTTGGTTTTTTGATAGAGGAGTGTACCCATTTTCTTTCTTTTTTTTTTAAGGTTTTACTTATTTTTAGAGAGGGAAGGGAGGGAGGAAGAGAGAGAGAGAAACATCAATGGGCCTTTGCTGGGGGCCGTGGCCTGCAACCCAGGCATGTGCCCTGACTGGGAATCATGTACCCATTTTCAATCCCATTCAGTACGTTGGTGAGGAATTTAGTAATCAAGACTAAGTTCTCTGCAAGCCTGAATTTAAAGCTCAAAGTGAGGGATATACAGAAGAGCATGAGTGTGCAAGTTGTTAAAAGTTTATTTGGCAGAATTTCATTTTCATTATACAAACCACATAAAGTGAAGCTCAAATCTCAAGTGCTAAGCCTCTGAGAAGATGGTGGTTTTCACCTGACCGACAACTTAGAATGGGGGGGGGGGCGGCGAATTGGTAGTGCTTATTATTAGGACACGAGTTAAAATGAAGTTAGGAAAACGTGGCTGTGGCCATCACTAATTAGTTGAAGACACCAGCGTTTGTCTGGGTCACGCAGGGGTTGTGCCTAGGGAGGGGCACAAAAGGGTAACACTAGGGGAGAGGATGGGTTTGGGGAGCGGCAGCGATGGGAAGGATCGCGCAGGGAGGGGGAAAGCGGGCGCCAAGTCTCCCCGGGGGCCGACCGTGGGTGGCCCTGAGCCAGGGTGCCGCGGGGTGGGGGGGGCGGGGGGACGAGCTTCCAGAGGAGGAAGCAGCATCCGGGCTACAATGTCCGGTGCGACCCGAGGGGCCAGACCGAGAGCAGTAATTCCCCCCCGGTATAAGGAGCGCGGGGCGCCCGCCCCAGGTGAGTTAACACCCGGCGCTTAGAGGCGGAACCCGAAGGGCGAGGGGCCGCGGGCTCCTCCCCCGGCGCCTCCACTATCTGGGGCAGGACGCGGCGGCCGAGGCGCCGGACCTCAGGACCTACGGGCTGCAGGACTACCGTCCGCTGGCCGCTTCTCTCCCACCGTCCTCCCTGCAGGTTCCCGGTACCAGACCCTCGGTCTCCGACCGCGGAGAAGCCGGCGCGGCGAGCACAGGTGAGAACAGAAGTGGGCAGTGGGCGGCTCGTCTGGCCCAGACCGGACGCGACCCGGGCTGGGCAGAAGGCTGAGGCAGCACTTCCGGTGGCGGGCATGCGCTTCCGGGTCTCGCGGACCGGGTTTGACTGCCGCCTGCTTGCTTTCCCGGGGGCAATGGGGACCCTTCGGAAGCTACAACCCCGCGGGGGGAGTGAGCGGGTCGCCGACTCGGCCCCGCGGGGCCCTGCGAGCCCCTATGAGTTTGAGTTTCTGCCGGGGACACTTGGGTCGCCTCGCACCTCCGCTCCCTGAGTATTAACTTTCGGCAGCCAACAAACGTTTTTGTTGTGTACCAAACAAACTTGGATTTTCTACTTTTGCACAAAACGTAGGGCCGATTCAGTGTGACAGACATTTGCAAATAAGCCAAGTATCAGTGAGTCCTCGATTTAAAAATTATGAAATAAGGCAAATTATGAAAATCTGATGAAATATGAGTGTTGGAATTCACTTAAAAGTTATCAGATTATACAGGTCTCTGTGGGGAATGTGATCACTAATTCCAGGTCTCAACGACTCCTAGGGAAACTTAAACCTCAGACTTAACTATAACTCATAATGTTTCTTTACCCCTGTTGCAAAATTCTTCATACATCCCCTCACTTTACCAGTTACATATTTTATGTATTGCTTCCTAAGAATCTGCTGATGAAGTAAGTGAATATATGCTGGATATTGCTGAAAACTTTATAATTAACTTAGTAAAGCATAATTTTTATTAAAAAGTTAATTTAAACTAGACCATAAAAATTAGTTTCCTGAAATTAATGCTTCATGATATTCTATGAAGAAATTTCAGTGTAGAAATTTCTTTTGAATTAACATTTTGATGATTCCAGTAGAATTCTTGATTCTCATCTCCAAATAACCTTTAATTAATTACACATTCATTTTAGATGCCAAAAATTTATATTAAAATGCCTGTCATTTTCCATTGTTATTACTAGCACCTTACAAACTGAAACTTGTAACAGGAATAATACTTAGCATCTGATTATCTAGTCAATAGATTTTTTAAAAAGTACTGTGTTTTTATTCTAAAGTGCAAGTGTATACTACTAATTTAATAATTAAACATATAAAAGTTATGTAAGTGATGTAATAAAACCTTTGAAAGTATACTGCAGGCAAGCAATGTTCTGACTTACAAATTTTCTGCGTTAGTATTTTTGAGTGGCATTTTTCAAATTATTTGCTTAGAAGCACATTCTATACATGATATGAAACTTAAACATAGCTTTAGCTACTAGTTTCTAGTTGTGGTTATTAGTCTCTAATTGTAGCTATTAGCATCTGTTGGTTATTAACCAATACCTCCTCTATTGATTCTAGATTTTTCCATTTGATTTTCATAGTTCCAAAGTCATAACTCAGCTCTGAACATCCCTTGCACAGTCAGCATTCTCCTTCATGACCTTGCTGTTGTGCCCTGAATCCTCATCATGCAGCAGTGCATTCGGTACTTATCAAGGGTGACAGTTCCCACTTCCTTCTTGGATGACCCCTCAGTGAATAACCTGACATGCCTCAGTTTACTTATCTGCAAAACAGAGACGATGAAAGGACCTGCCTCCAAGAGACAGTGTGGGGATGGTCCACATAATTCCTAAGGAGGTCAAACAATTTGATACTCTTTTCCACCTGTTTAAACCTGCTACCATCTCAGGGATAAGATCTTCCTAGGTGTATTTTGATTTTCATTTATTTAATTATTAAATGAAAAGAAATTTAAGCTACACTATGTTATTTAATGTAAAGTTCAAGGAAGGCCCAGCAGGGGTGAGCCAAGAAAGCATTTAGAATAGAAATATTTATTTTCATAGACTTCTACATCAGCATATGAACATCCTGCATCAGTCTTGTTACTCCCCCAAAAAGAGCCAAGATAATCAAGCTTGATGCATGATTATTAGATGTATGCATATGTAAGTCAGGGGCATATGGTGGCTTTTTCTTGTACTATTGCCTTTTTGGAATAGTCTTTTAACATAATTTAGTTTTGTGATATGATTATTTTCTGGAAATAACATTTAACAACTAGTAATAATGACCTACAGCTTTAGCTGAAATTACAAATTGATTTGAATCTACTGCTGACAAGTCTCCTGGATGGGATGGGAGTGGATAGATGATTAGACTTTCAGTTCACAGTTATACCAATAAGGTAAAAATACTTTTTGCTTAAAAAAATTAGGCCTAAACTGGCCCCTGAGGTCAGGTAAGGTAGATTTAAGCACATGGACTTTCTACTGAAACCCTTGGCTTCAGAAGAGTTTCTTAACACTCTTAGATATAATATTGACCAATATCTGTGGCAATTTCTAACATGATTATTTTAAAATCAGTTGTCCTTTTCTTTTACACTTAGACCTGTAATGAACTAGGGTATCTGAATAGGATACTCCCTATATTCGATGCATATGGTCTAATATATTAGGAATCTAAAGAAAGATATTTTTTTAAAAAAGATTTTATTTATTTATTTTTAGAGAGAGGGGAGGGGAAGAAGAAAGAGAGGTAGAGAAACATCAATATGTGGTTGCCCCTCATGGAGCCCACACTGGGGACCTGATCCCCAACCCAGGCATGTGCCCCAACTGGGAATAATTGAATCGGTGACCCTTTGGTTCACAGGCTGGCACTCTAGCCCCTGAGCCACACCAGCCAGGGCCCAAAGAGAGACATTCTTTTAGGCAGACTTCTTAGACATAGAAGCAATTCTTGCTTCTTATTCTCACTTTTTCATAGGGCCTCACTGGAAACATCACATTTACAGTAGTTGGCCATAAGAAGCAATAATGCTTTGCTTGAGTATGTGGGATCATAGGATATAAATCAAGGGAAGACAAATTTGGACCTACAATTGCATTCAGAATTTGTGTATTTCTAATATTCCTTCCCCCCATCCTCTCAGCTGTTTGTTTCCTGTTTCATCTGGAACAATTAAGCAATAAAAGAGAACTTTCATAAGATCCCACTATCCTATCTCCCCACCTTCCTGAGTCAGCTCACATGGTCTGCCTTGTCTTTCATTACTGTTGAGTGAACAGTTTGTTTCCATCAAAGGTCAACCTCCACACTTGTACACTGTAGACCATTCATCACCTTTGCCTTCTCAAGTTCACTGTTGCAGCCATTCTCTCATCTTTGTTTTACTTCATTAATTTACCTTTCTTTAAAAAAAAATTGGGTCTTTTCCATTGGCTGACAGAATTATTGTTATATCTCCATCATTTGGTACCATTCTCCCCACATAGTCTTTTTAAATTGATTTTGAGAGAGAGAAACATCGATTTGTTGTTCCACTCATTTATGCATTTGTTCGCTGCTTCTTGTTTGTGCCCCGACTGGAGACGGAACCTGTGGCCTTGGTGGATCTGGACAATGAGCTAATGAACTGAGCCTCTGGCCAGTGCCCAAGTTTCTGTCTGTTAGCCTTTTCCTTCTGTTTGAAGAACCTCTGTTAGCATTTCTTATGGTGCGTGTCTGCTGACAATGAATTCTCTTAACTTTTCTTTGTCTGAGAAAGTACTTTATCCTCATTATTGAAAAATATTTCACTAGGTATAGAAATGTAAATCGATAGTTCCTTTTAGGACTTTAAAGATGTCCTGCCATTGTTTCTTCCTTGAACAGTTTCTGAGGTGAGTCTCTGAGACAAAGGTTGCTATAATCTTTTTTTTTGTCTATACATAATAAATCTTTTTCCCCCCACTGTCTACTTTTAAGATTTTTTCTTTATCACTTGTTTTCAGCATCTTAATAATGCTGTGCCTTGCTTTGGTTTTCTTTACTTATTCTGCTTGGATTATGTTGTTGACCTTCTTGGATCTCTGGGTTTATAGGTTTTGTACAGTTTGGAAAGTCTTTAGCCATTTTCCCTTCAAATCTCACCTCTCCCTTTCCTGTAACTTTAATTAAAAATATTTGGAACTGCTCGATACTGCCCCATAGGCTCTGCTTGGGTTTTGTTTTGTTTTGTTTTGAATCTGTGAGCTTCATTTTGGACAGTGTCTTAGTCTCTTGGACTGCTGTAACAAAATACCATAGGCTAGGTGGCTTATAAACAACAGAAAGGTATTTCTCACAGTTCGGGAGGCTAAGAAATCCAAGATGAAAGCACAGGCAGATTCAGTGTCTTGCGGAGGCCCACTTCCTGATTCATAAATAGCACCTGCTATAACCTCACATGGTGGAACAGACACAGGATCTCTCTGGGTGCCTTTTATAATGTCCCTAATGCCATTCATGAGAGCTTTCCCTCTGAAAGGCCCCACCTCCTAATTCCATCACCTTGCAAATTAGGATTTCAACATGAGTTTTGGGGGGGACACAGACATTTAGCCTATAGCAGATGGCTTCTATTGCTGTGTCTTCTGGTTCTTTGACTTTTCCAATGTGTTATTTTCTTCTGCTATTAATCTCATTCAGTAAAATCTTATTTCTGGTATTTTATTTTTTATCTTTAGAAGCTCTGTTTGGTTCTGCTCAATGCCTTCTATCTTCATATTTTGAATATTTATATGAAATAGTAAACATATTTGTAATAGTAGTTTTAATATTTTTCTGCTTTTTTGCATGTCTAGAAATTACTAGTAAAAGGCGGAAGATTTATACAATCTGAAGAGAAACCAGAGTATGCATGTCTAGTAATTTCTGATTGGTGATCAATATTCATGACTTTCGTGTTGTTGAGTTCTGGATTTTTTTCTTATTTCTTTAAAAACTATTGGGCTTTCTCTTTCTCTTGAAGGCAGTTAAATTACTTGTGAATAAGTAATAAGAAATAAGTTTGTGAATAAGTTTGCTCCTTCAGAAGATCATTTTAAAGCTCTTTTAGGGCAAGTCTAAGTAGCCTTAACTCTAGGGTTCATTTAGCCTCCTTACCAAGGGTTACCAAGGCATTGCATTACCTTTCTGAGTTCCCTGCGGAAAGCCTCTTGTATTTCATAAGCACTGTGCAGTCTGGCTGGTGGGAATTTGAACACTTCTTAATTCTGTGTAATCTTTAGGAATGGTTAAACTTATAGCTAGTTCCCTGGAAATTGCATGTGCTGAGTGGTATTCAATTCAAGATTCAAGGCAACTCCTATACATCTTTCTGGAGCTATTTGTCTGCGTACCTCCATCTTCAGTCCTGTGCCATACAAGTTGTAGGTGCTTCAGTTTTTCTGAACTCTGATCTCTGTTCAACTCAGCGAGACCAGCAGGCTCTGTTTGGTTTTCCCCTTCCTGTGCTATAGTCCAGATGTCGCCTCCAATTGTAAACCTGGGGAGATTAAAGAATTTACCTCCTTTCTTTCCTTTTGCTTGGGGATCATAGGTGGTAGTGCTATAATAATCTCCTTGAGAAAATGTCAGGAAAAACAAACCAAAATTTTTACAAATTAATATTCTTTAATGGTTCACCATTGTGTGTACCATTTCTCCCAGGTTGCTAACAAAATTTAATGCAGGTGTTTATCTTTTTATAAAATAGAGGAAATTGATGGGGAATCAATTTTGTGAACCTCAGTCTGTAAAAAAAAAAACTTACTGTATTTTATTGTAATTACTTAAGTTCATCATAGTTCTAAATGCTTATTGCCATTTTAAAGTCTCAGAAGGAGATGGGGCTTTATATTATTATTGCTTTTCTTTAATGGCCTCCTTGCTTTAAGAACAGAGATAAACAATCAAACTGGTGAGGATGGGATATACTAAAGAAAGATTAGGTGTATTTAGTCAAAGTACCTGAGGGTATATTGTAGGCCTTATAAGGTGGGCCAGAGTTTGGGCCTTGAATGCAAAAAGGTGAAATTTCAGAAGGAGAAAAAGAGTCAAAGAAATGACATTTTGTTACTTTCTTTTAAAGTGAAAATTTGAAGGAAAGGAAAACATTAAGACCTTAGGCAGAAATAGAAACGTTAGGAGCAGAAGAATTCGGGTCGTGGGAAGAAAGCAGATGAAGGCTGCACATCTGTTAGCATTTCTGCTTTCCACGTTGGAAAACACGGGTGGGGGCTGGGTCACAGACTTGCCGAAGCTCTCTAATGTATTTTGTATCTCAGAGCCCTGGGGTATTAAAATGTTGTTTATCACTCTAAATATAAATAAAAATGTGCTAAGAGAGAGCTTCTTTATAGCCTTTATTAAAGAGTAGGTAAGACTACTAGTTACTTGTATACAAATAAAAAGTTCAGACACAGTTAAGCATAATTTGAATTTTTTTTAAATATTTTATTTATTTTTTGAGAGAGGGGAAGGGAGGGAGAAAAAAAGGGAGAGAAACATCAGTGTGTAGTTGTCTCTCATGCGCCCCCTACTGGGGACCTGACCTACAACCCAGGCATGTGCCCTGACTGGAATCTAACCTGCAACCCTTTGGTTCTGAGGCCGGCACTCAGTCCACTGAGCCACACCAGCCAGGGCTGAAGTTTTAAATAGTTTTTTCAGAAATTTACAATGATGCTTTTATGTTTATTTATCACACCTTTAAAAAGGTATAGTACAGAGTAAATATGAAGTTAGTCATGTAGGATACAAACTCTGAGTTAAAGTTGGTACTTTATAATGACTTAAGTAATATCCTTAAAGTAAATATTTCCACCTGGCTACATATATTATAAAAGTAATATATGTTAGTTTATGATTCATGATTTATCAAGTTGTTTTGTGTGTGTATATATGTAGACTTGGCTTTCGTTGATTGACAAAGCTCTAATATTTTTGTTTTGGGCAAAGACAGAAACACTTATTTACATTTATGCTTTTTAATTTTAGAAACAAAACCCAAGAATGCCTCATTCCACAAACAAAGAACTGATACTTGGCATCATGGTGGGAACTACTGGAATCAGCTTGCTTCTTCTGTGGTACCGTAAGGTTCGCAATCCCAGGACAGCAATGAATTTACCTAAATTTCTTTCTCTGGGTAATGCGTTTGGTTCAGCGACTTTGCAAGATGAAATGCATAATGGCCAAGGAACAGCAGCGATCTTTCAAGGAAGGCAACTTCAGATATTGGAGAAGTTAAACGAGTTACTGACAAATATGGAAGAACTCAAAGAGGAAATCAGAATTCTTAAAGAAACCATTCCAAAGCTGGAGGAATATGTACACGGTGAACTTGGAAGGAAGACAGCTGCTCACAGGATTAGTCCTCAGCACAGAGCTAGGAAAAGAAGGCTTGCCACAGCTCAAAGTTCGGGAACCAGTAATAGTTCAGAGGAAGCGGAAAGTGAAGGAGGGTAAGCTTCTTTAAGATGTTGCCCATATTGAGTTGATTATTTTGTTATTGCTATTATTTAGGTACTTTTATTATGCATTCCCAGTCATATACAGGGGTGGGCAAAAGTAGGTCAGTAATAATACATAATATAATAATAAATGAATAATATAAGAATAATCTCCATTTCATATACTCACCGCTGTAAACCTACTTTTGCCAACCCCTGTATTCTGCTAGAGAAGACATAAAAAAGTGGTTATTTTGGCTCATATTACAGTTAAAGCCATATTCAGTAGAGGTCAATCTTTAAGCTAGTATAGACTGCACTGACAAAGAGAATATAAGTAACTTACTAGTGCTAGGTGGCATCGTGTGCATGTTGAAGAAGACAGTACTTGTTTGCCAGAGTTTGTCACCCTTTCTCATGTGCGGCCGCTGTGCAGCTTGTTCTGTAAGAACGTCCCAATAAGTGCAGTCCAATAGAAACTTGTGTGATGACGGATGTGGTCTGAAGTTGTGCTGCGCAATGTAGCAGCCACTTGAAGTGTAGCTAGTTTAACTGGGGAACTGATTTTTAAATTTTGTCTAATTGTAATTAAGTTTAAATAGCCTGATGGGGCTAGTGGCTACTAGACCAGGCAGTGCAGACCTAAAAAGATTTGGGAAGGTACAAGTGATTCGGTTTCATCCTTGCATGGGGTAATCCATTGAATTCTAAAACCAAGAACATACATAATGTTCTCTTAGAGGGAAAACAAAATGATTTGTGAATAAAGAAATCGTGCCTGTCTAGTGTTTTTGAAGAGCAAAATAGGCAAGTGAGTAAAGGGGCACTAGTGACTGTGACAGAGCCTGATACTCTCAGGGCAGGGACCCTGTGCTTTCATTGCTCTGTGCTCACGTCTAGTGTTGCTGGAACACATCTGTACTCGTTGGCCTAAACTGCATGCTTTTTTGTTTTCTGTTGTATTTAAAAGTACTTGCAGTCTGGTACTGGATCAGTTTAAACCTTTGATCGTGTACTGTTTCTTTCTGTTTACTAGACAGCATTTAGAAATGACCATCAAATGAATTAATTAACCTTTCTTTCAAAAGAAGCTAATAGTGGATAGGGAAAGTCTAGAGATAGCTTATCAAATTGTTCGGTGATCCCCAAGAAGTACCATTTCTACCTTTCAAGTCACGTAAAGATAACTGTGCTATCTGAGTAGCAAACTACCAACAGTGAATCTGTATGGATAGAGTTTAATATTGTAATGAAAAAAAAAATAAAAGTTAACTGGGTACTAATTTAGTGATGAACATTGCTGTTACTTTGCACAATTGGGTATATGTGGTAAGCTGTTTATACAAATACCTATAATTAGTGTCATGGATTACACAATTTACATTCACTACACTCAGATCAGCTAAAGATGTAAATGTACGTTCCTCTATAACTGAATTCAGTTCACTAGCTCTGTTTTGGATAATATGGGAAAACCTGAATTTGTCAATCAAAATTAACTCAGTCAGTTTGCATTTAGAGCTAGTCTTCTTGTGTTAAAGACTCAGTCAAATTCAGGGTTCTCCCCTCTTCCCCCTTCCTCCTGCTCCCCAGGTATAATCTAGATTCCTTGGGGACTCATCATCTAGGAACCAAGAGAAGGGGTACTCAGTCCTAATATCATTTGGTGTCCTTCCTGGACCCCAGCTCAGGTAGGAGGCTTCTGTGAGGTATCCTGAAAGGCCCTTTTAACTTTTACTCTGAGGGGTTTATTCATTATCCAGATGTTCTAGACAGAGCTACTCAAAGAGTGGTCTGTGGGACAGAAGCATCAATATCCCATCTAGTGCGAGAGCTTAATGGAAATGTACATTCTCAGATTCACCCCAGATCTAGTAAATCACACCTCTGGGAGCAGTGCCCAGGAAACCGCATTTTAACATGTTCTCCTGGTGCCCCTGATGTACCCTAAAGTTTGAGAAGCTTTGTTCCAGAAGACAAAAAGACGTATCATGATGAAATTGTAGTTTTAATTAGCGTCAGTTACGGTTACAAGGAAACAAGATGTCCATGGGGCATAGTGAGATCTGTCCCCGTGGAGGATTGGTCTTGGTGGGGACAGAGTGGCTGAGGTGAGACTAAGAAGGTTCAGGCGACCACAGCACATGAATGTGGAAGGTGCTTGGGGTCACGGAATGGGCAGAGTAAGAGTTGGGGGTGGATTGAAGGAGAAGTTTCAGATGCACGCCATTATGAGGGGTTAATAATTTGGGTGGAGGGGCTACATCTAATTACAGTTTTATTCAAAGTAAGCAATGAGGGCAAATTTGGGGATAGAGATTTAGATAAATACTCTATCCAGAAAAATATTAAACAATGTCATATTACCCATACTGGTATGTGATTTCCTTTCAAATGTCTAGGCAGATCTGGATTCTTCCTCCCCATCCCCCAGGTACATACACCCAAACACTTTTTTTAAAAAATTGATAATCATAGATTTACTTCCAGGGTGCAAGAGTGGAATGATCAGACCTCGTTTACTGCCTCCTTTGGGCAGAAACACTTGTCAGCATTGGGATCTGCTCATGACTGTGTTTCCTTTGGGGTAGCTCAGGGGGCGCATGCTCCTTCCAGAGCGGGGACTGTTCAACAGCAAGCTGGCCCCATTCTGGAAAGAGCAGTTTCTTATAGAAACTTTCTGTGCATTACATAACCTACTGTTTTGATTATGCAAAAGATGTCCTTTTGGAAGAGGTACTCGTGGAGCTTAGTGTGGCTTAGGAACAACCGACCACTGTGTCACCACACGGGGAAAACAGTTATGGATGGCTGTAGTGAGAGCCGAGCTCTGGGCATCTTACACCCCCCCGCCCCCAACTCCTGGGCATCTTACACACCGTGCTACGTGTCCCAGGAAAAGGCCCTGAGCACTTTCTTTCTTGACTTTTATGAAAAATTGAGACCTTAGATCCAGTTCTCATGAATTTTCCAAGGAGATTCTGTTCTTCCTCTTCCCAAAAGCGACCAGAGGTGACCTCTGAAAGTGGTTTGCTACTCACTTGACCCAGAAAACCAGACAAAATCACGCAAATCAAGGGGTTCAAATCTTCATGTTTATTTTAAGAACATTCGTGAAACTTCCCAGGCCATGAAGAGTGTGCATATTTGAAAAGCCACCAAGTACCTGAAAGATGTCGCTTTAAAGAAACAATGTGTCCCGTTCCGTCATTACAGTGGTGGAGTTGGCAGGTGTGCCCTGGCCCAACAGTGTGGTTGGGCACACAGTTGGTGGCCCAAAAAGAGTGCTGAGTTTTTGCTGCGCGTACTTAAAAACGCAGAGAGTAATGCTGGTCTTAAGAGCTTAGATGTAGATTCTCTGGTCATTGAGCACATCCAGGGGAACGAAGCTCCCGAGATGCAGATGCCGAGATGCAGATGCCGTGTAGAATTTACAGAGTTCAAGGGCAGATTAACCCATCCCTGAGCTCTCCCTCCACACTGAGATGGTCCTTACTGCAAAAGAGCAGGTTGTTCCTAACTCAGAAGAGGAAGTTGCACAGAAGAAAAAGGTAGCCCAGAAGAAACTAAAGAAACAAAAGCTTAAGGCCTGGGATTAAATTCAGCATAAAATAAATAGTAGTAAAAGTAAAAAAAAAAAAAAGAGACTATTTTTTAGAGCAGTTTTAGATTCACAGAAAAATTGAAGAGAAGGTACAGAGATTTCCCATATCGTCTCTAACCCCGCACATGCAGAGCCTCCCCATTATCCAGTACCAGACTAGTATGTTACAATCAATGAACATACATTGACACATCATAATTGTTCAAAGTCCATAGTGTACATTATGGTCCACTCTTGGTGGTGTTTATTCTACGGATTTGGACAATTGTTTAATGACATGAATCCACCATTGTGGATTCACACAGAGTATTTTCACTGCCCGAAAAATCCTCTGCGCTCTGTCTATTCCTCCCTCCCTCCCCCCACCTCCTAGCAACAACTGATCTTTGTGCTGCTCCATAGTTTCCCCTTTGTCAGAATGTCCCATAGTTGGAATCATACCACATGTAACCTTTTCCGATTGACTTCCTTCACTTCGTATTATGCATTTAAGTTTCCTCCATATCTTTTTATGGCTTAACAGTTCATTTCCTTTTAGTGCTGAGTCATATTCCATTGTCTGGACGGACCACAGTTTATGTATTCACGTACTGAAGGACATCATGGTTGCTTCCACATTTTGGCAAAAATGAAGACAGCTGCTATAAGCATTCATGTGCAGATTTTTAAGTGGACATAAATTCTCGTCTCATTTGGGTAAATACCAAGGAGCATGATTGCTGGATTGTATGGTAAGAGTATGTTTAGTTTTGTAAGAAACCTCTCAACTGTCCTCCAAAGCGCCTGTCTTCCCCTCCAAGGTGAACCCGTTTGCATTCCCACCAACAGTGAGTGAGCGCTCCCGTTGCTCCACATCCCCACCAGCACTTCAGTGCTGTCAGTGTTCTGGATTTTGACCACCCTTGTTTTAATTTGCATTTCTCTGATGACATATGATGTGGAGCATCTTTTCATGTGCCTATTGGTCGTCTGTGGATCTTCTCTGGTGAGGTGTCTATTAAAGTCTTTGGCTCATTTTTAAACTGGGCTGTTCATTTTCTTATTGTTGAGTTTTAAGGGTTCTTTGTATATTTTGGATGAGTCCATTTTCAGATATTTGTTCTATAAATATTTTCTCCCAGTCTGTGGCTTTTCATTCTCTTGACCTTGTCTTTCACGAAGCAGAAGCTTATCTATTATTTCTTTCATGAATTGTGCCTTTGGTGTTGCTTCTAAAAAGTCATTGCCATACTCAGCTTGATCTAGGTTTTCTCCAATGTTATCTTCTAGGAATTTTACAGTTTTGCCTTTATATGTAGGTCTGTGATCCATTTTGAGTTAATTTTTGTGCAAGTATAAAGTCTACATGACCATCCTTTGTCCTGGCCATTTCTCAGGGTTGTGGTGAGAAACCTTGAGGAATGAGAGA